TACGCTTCTCTTCATACAGTAATTGTTACTCCTCATCGCTAGTGTTTGGAAGTTAAGTTAGTTAACCCGGAAAATAACCGAGACTGGACCGAACCGTAACCGATCAGGACCGCAAAAATTACCTAACCGATCCTAACCGTAACCGCGGTCTGGTTAGTGGTTAGGTGTCATCCCAAAATATTCAAGACCAAACAAAAACCGGTTAGGACCGGTTATAACCGGTCTTTGTGTCCTAACGTTACACACAAATATTCCCCTGTTTAAACGCTTTCTAACGATCCAAAAATCATATTTTTTAGTGGAGAATTGACATATTTACGGTGAATTGAAATTTAAGTGACTATTTTCCTGTCGTCACATGTGTGATAATGTGACATTGATACAACAATGGCGATCCATGAGAAACGCTCGCAGGTCGGGTGTACTCGACCTGCGAGGTTGTTTATGAAAATCGTGCGAGGCGGTGTTTCACCTACACACGCCTCGCTGGTGCATGCAGCATAATGCTTGTATTAGAAATATAATATAGGTTTGTAATTATGTTAGTACAGAGAAATAACCGGTTAGGACCGGTCATGTAACCGACCGCTAACCGTTACTAACCGATATAATCGGTTAGTAGCAGTCCGGTTCGGTTATTTTGGGTTTCGTGGCACAAGGTAACCGGTCTCGGTCTCGGTTAGAGCCCTTGAGGGCTCAATAACCGGACCGGACCGGACTTTCAAACACTACTCATCGCGTCATTTGATCAAGCACCTCCAGGCCATATAACTAACCATTACCATCCTAATACATAACCGATCCATCATGCCCCCACTCCCCCCGTTCATGCGCCCATACCTCAACCTCGCGTCCTCCAATGACGACCGTCTATCCATATCCTCCCTCCCGCAACTAATCACATTCGCAGCCCAGCACAATCCCCACCATACATTCGCCCTCTAACTCCGCACCTCAGACTCACCTCGATGCGAACTTTCCTTTGTGCAGCTCGGGGAAATGGTGGAACTTGCGTCGGCGTGGCTCGTCTCATCAGGTACGACTACAGGCAGGGAGAGGAGGGAAGAGAAAGTAGGCTGCGTAGCGATATTTTTGGCGAGTGATGTTGGGTTGTTTGTGTATCTGAGTGCGTTGTTGTGGATTGGTGTGCCGGTGGGTTTTCTTTTCTTCTCTCGTTCTGTTTACTAAAGGACGATGTTAAAAAATAGGCCCTCCTCCTCTCCGCCCGCCTTAGTCCCACATCAATCGCACACCTAATCAAAGAAACATCCCCCACCTCCATCCTCGTATCCTCCCAAACATCACTCGTCGCCCGTAAAACACTTTCTCTTCTCCCTTCAACCCACTTCCCCCCCCCCAGCCTCGTCACTGCTCCCCCCTACTCCACGTTCCTCCTCTCAGGTTCCCCCACACCCGACTGCCCTCTATCGCCAGTTCCACCTCCATACGAAGACCACCTCCCCACAGATCTCGACGCACTCATACTCCATTCATCACGGACCACCGGGTTCCCAAAGGCGATGCACCACTCCCACGCGTTCTTGCTCCTCTTCGCATCTGCGCATCGTTTTGAGGAGAAGATGGGGGAAGGGTCTAGCGTTGTTACGTCGCCTTTGTATCATGTTCGTTGGCTGCTTTAAAAATATCAAGCTGACGAAGCTAAGCGGATGGAAATTAAATAACAGGGTTCCGGGCTCCTCGCACCCCTCCTATCTCTATCCATCAACCTCCCATTTGTCCTTCCCCCATCTGGCGTCATACCCACCCCCCTTGCCACCCTCCATACCATCCACTCAACCAACGCCCGCTATTTGTTTACGGTACCGTGTATCATTGAAGATATTTTTTGTCTCCCCGATGACGTGGGGTTGCGTTGAAGAAATCGGACATCGTCGTTGTTGGCGGTGCGCCTTTGGAAGAACTTGTTGGGAGACGGATGGCCGATGGGGGTGTTAGGGTTTTGAATCATTGGGGTGGGTAATTTCAGTTCAAGTCATTGCCCCCTCCCATTAAATCGTGATTTTTTTCTTTTGAAGGTGGTTCTGAGACAAGACCTATCGCGCCTATCGAAAAGGTCAAAAAGAGTGTTTTTGGACGATGGCAGTGGCAAACAAAGACGGGGTTATATTTACAACAGAATATTCAAATCTATCGCAGGCTGGTGGAAAAGTTGAAT